GAAAGAAGGAAGGGAGGCGAGTGGAGCGGAAGAGGAAGGCCAAAATAATCTGTGGAGTGCAATAAAACGAGGTAGCCTGTACAATACACTACATAAGTATGCTTAAGTGTATTTATGACGATATAAACATTAAAATGCATTGAAAAGTTAACAGTAGTTATTTGTAGTGGTTTTCCAGAACCTTCAGCATTTTTCTGTTTGTTACTTTTAGAAATAGAAGTTTGTATTTTTAGGCTTCTTTGCTTTAAAAAAATTTAAAAGGGAGAATATGAAGGAAATAATCTTCAGTAAGGTCTAGATTTCCAAACCAGAGATTAAAAATAGTATCTCTACTCTTTATAGTTCTAGACGAGGGCGGGGGGATATACTATTGGGCCCAGATTAGCTGAGCTTCGCCCCAGACGCCTCACCTTCTAAAGTGAAAGAAGCGACAAAACACAGGCGAATCTTTCTGTTGTTCCTTATCCTTGCGGAGACTGTCCAAGCGACACTCCCGGCACTTGGGCAGCTGTGCGACAATGTTCATGCAGGAGTCATCCTGTACGAAGGCCTCACCGCTCTGCTGCAGCTTCTTGACTTTAGCTGGGTCTGTCAAAACGGACTTCCTGGATGGTGCTAGTAAAACAAAAGATTAAGAAAACAGGACCTCAAATTTTAAAAAAATCACATCAATATGCTACTGATTTCTATTCAAAAGGCCCGTTTTCCTAAAGAAAAAACTCCTCAATAACTGGTTCAATTGTCATTTCTAAAAATAGCTTAATAGAAGACAACTATGAGGACAATTAGAAAAGTTTTGCCTTCTTTATAATACTCATCTGGTGAACCAATTTGGCCAACTAAAACCCCAAATTTAACAACCAGACTCACAGTTCCAAGCAGTGTATACTTTTATTCACCATCCTAAGTAAGAGAAATACTTCAGTAAGATTTTTCCAATTCAGATACTTAATTCACACTCACTGCAATATTAGCAATGCACAGAGATAGGTTCACCTCAACAAACACAACACTGTATAAAAGTCATTTTACACACCCCCAAAAAAGACTGGTTTACGGTGTGTTCTCTGCAAAAGCTAGCCATGTGAAACCAATAGAAAAGACCTTTTCTCAGGGCCCAAGAGAGCTGAGAAAAGGGAGGTAGATTCTTAGGCAAATAAATTTTTTATTACCAAACAAATAAATGAAAATGAAAAAACCCCAAAAACTCCTCTTAGGGAATCAGTCTAGAGATGGGTGGGAGAGAGTAGTAGTCTTGAGAGGAAATTGAAAGATCTCAAACCAAAGAAGCTTTAAATAAATAAGCATCTTTAATAATTACCCTAGAAGTGATCTAACCCTACCTCACTTTTAAAGCAGACCTAGAGCTCACTGTAAAACACTAAATGGATGCTGTCAGGCTTCGAGTCCTTAAATACTATTATTCAGTTATAGTGAAAGGGAAGATAAAGTAAGAAAGGAAAGAAAATAAAGAGATCAGTGGTTCAAGCATGGAATTTTAATTACTTAGGTACTGAAATGGAATCATCCTTTGAATTGGACCAGGTTTTCACAAACCATGGGCAAAGAGCCCAAAGGTTATCTTATCTGTTCTGTCCTGGCTTAAAAGAGGAAATATCTAGAAGTAAGCAAGTTGAGCGATCTAAATCTAGCTCTCTATTGAGGAAAGCAATAGTTGATCCTATCAGTGATTCTCAGTTCAAAGCAGAGCCAAGGGGAAAAAAAGCAAGGCGAGCTTCAGAGGACCCAGACATCTATCTGACAGAAGAACAGGCAGCTCTTCACCCCCAGTTTGCTTTAGCTCCTAAGCAGAGCAAGGGTGCAAGAAAGAGGAACAGTTTCTAAATGGGTCTTTCCATACCCACAAGCAACACAAATGAAAACAACAGAGATCCCAGAGATCCTGGTAGGCTTCTGATAACACCCAGGCCTCAGCCAGAAGTCCCAGTAGACGGGATGCACCAGGATATGACTATGTTTTTCATTCTCTTAAAATTACTTTAGCCCTGACCAGTGTGCTCAGTGGTTAGAGCAGTGGTTTGCATACCCAAGGGTCACAGGTTTGATTCCCAGTCATGGGCATGTACCTGGGTTGCTGTTCCATCCCCCCCCGCCCCCCCCCCCCGCCCCCGTGGAGAGGCAACCAACTTATGTGTCTCTCTCATGTTGATGTTTCTCTCTTTCCCCTCCCGCCCTCTCATCCATTCTCTCTAAAATAAAAATCAATGAAAAAAAATATCCTCAGATGAGGATTAACAACTAAAATCCTATATAATAAAAGCGTAGTATGCAAAGTGTCCCCTCGACTGGGAAGTCGTCCGGGAGTTCAACCAGGCAGTGGGGCCAGCGGGGGTGGGGGGTGGGGAGGGAAGGAGGCCCCCGCTGGTAGTGGCCATGGCAGGAAGGGAGTGAGTACCTGGCCAGCAGCTGGCAGCCGCTAGGGACCCTACCAGTGCATGAATTTCATGTACTGGGCCTATAGTAATAAAATAAAATCACTTTAGGTGGGGCATAGTTGCACAACATACTGAGTAAGACAAAGCTGGATTCCTAATTCACTTATGTACCTATAATTCTGCTTACCAATGCTGAATTTTTATTGTTTGTTCACATAGTATTAAAATACTTTGCCTCAAAAACTAGATAAATGTGAGAGCTGATAACTCAAAAAGAATGAAGAGTCCTAGCCAGTTGCTCAGTGGATAGAGTATCAGCCTGAGGATTGAAGGGTCCCTGGTTCAATGTTGATCAAGGACACATACTTCCATTGCAGGCTCAATCCTCAGCCCTAGTTGGGGTGCGTGCAGGAGGCAACCAATCAATGTGTCTCTCTCACATCCATGTTTCTCTGTCTCTTCCCCTCCCTTCCACTCTCTCTAAAAATCAATGGAAAAATATCCTCCGGTGAGGATTAACAACGAAACAAAAAAGGAATAAAGAAATAGAACAAGGATATGGTTATGAATATTAACTTTCTTTTGGAAATTACACAACTCCTGAGAACAGTATACTCTTATGCAATTAATTTTATGCAAATTAATAGTTATATTAACTTCCTCCTCAAGAATGAAGATGGTTTAGAAGTATCACAGGAAAAGAAAGTTCTTTTTCTAGCCCTCCAATTCTATATCAAAAAGACCCACAGTTCAATCCATCCATCTTGCCTTATAGTTTCAGAGGCCTGCAGTAAAAGCTAGAGTGTGGATATACTCATTTTTTATGTATCCAAATGAATAGTGTTTTGTAAAAGTTATCAAAACCCACACTAATTTTCCCACACAGCTGACAATTATCAAAGGCATTTTTAACTTGTAATAGCTCTGAACCTTTGACACACTGAAGCCATTTAGTTCTCTTATAAGAGAGCTTCTGATAAACCATCATTGAAATGCATCCTCAAACTTAATATAAGTAATGAAATACAGTGTGCCATTTTCTCTACAGTAACAGTATTCACTTTTAAAGTGTGGGTGCAGCAGGGCATTGTTCTTAAGCCAACAGACTCTGCAGGGTGGTTTGGCCCTATTCTTAGCATCTTGAACTAAATATCCCTTTTTTAGAGGTAGTGATGCAATTCTCTATCTTTTAAAAAAATTTCAGATCTGAACTACCTATGTGAGCATAAAGTATCAATCACCTCTTCCACTTTCACCTGAATGTCATAGAAACATGTGTTGGGCCCTAACCGGTTTGGCTCAGTGGATAGAGCTTCAGCCTGCGGACTCAAGGGTCCCAGGTTCGATTCCGGTCAAGGGCATCTACCTTGGTTTTGAGCACATCCCCAGTGGGGGGTGTGCAGGAGGCAGCTGATAGATGTTTCTCTCTCATCAATGTTTCTAACTCTCTATCCCACTCCCTTCCTCTCTGTAAAAAAAAAAAAAAAAAAAAAAAAATCAATAAAATATATATATATATATATATATATATATATATATAATTTTTTTTTTTTTTTTTTT